ACAATTCAAACTGTTTTCAGCTGAAATGCAGTAATGGAAGGAAGTCCTGTTTGGTTTATAGTTCTAGCCAATTAAATTAAACTTGATTGCTCACTGCTTGTACATTGTCTGATTTTGAACATCTTCAGCTTTAATGTAAAATCAGACCGGCAGTAACCGTATAACCAAGAGTTAAGATTAACTCATCTTATTTGTTGTTTGTGGGCTTTTAGTGTCTACAAACAGTACAAAGCCTCATATACCCATGTAATAACAGTATTTACAATATAATCACTAAATATAAAGCATTTTAGAGCACCCAGAAATGCATGAGCTTTTTAATAATGTAAGTAATTTATTTCTGTGCTATATAATCAACATGATAATTGAAAACAATGGTTTTAAGTCAGATGATAATATATTAATTTCAATAATAATGTCAACAGTACTACACTGTTTTCAGAAGAAGGTTTTACTAATATGTTTGATCAGGGTAGTTTCAATTAGCTTTTAAAGCTTAATTTATGCAGCTCATCTGCTTTCTATTACTGATCTGAGGTAGATTTTGTCACAAGCATCATTCCTTCTGAATCAATGATAGGATTTATTTTTAGAGTTTGAATTTGTCATAAAGTCATGTCCGTTGAGTGATTAAACCACTTTCAGTCATGTACCATTCTAAATTTTAAGTGATAAAACAGCCATGGAATGGAGAGAGCTTATTTATATTTTTTTGAAAAATCCCTAGTTCAATAACAGCAACATCTTTCAATATTTCCTCTGAACACGTTCTGGTTGAGAGTGGTGGGTTCGGGAATACAGTTTTTCTCAGATGTTAAATGTTGTTTGGTTTGTGCCAATGTCATTTTTTCTGGTTTCATGTGTCATTAGCTTATGGCTTCAAATAACTGGTTTAAAATATTAACTTAATTTCCAAGCCAAATTTCAATATATAAATGTATCATAAATCTCCAATTACAATTGTGTTATGGGGAAACTATTTTACCAGTTGAGTTATGTGGGTGACTATGTAGTTTTGCTAATAATTCTTTTTGCATAAAATAAAGTATTGCTAACTGAACAGATATAGCATTACCTGTTTATTACGGTACAGATATGATGATATGCAGTTCTGCCACCTCATCCCTTTCCCCTCCAAAATCTGGCTCAATAATCATTTCCTCATACTAAGCATGACATCCTTAACATTTTAAGTATATTTGTGGTTTGCCAGAGGGAATTCAATGCAAATTCAGCTAAGAGTCATTTCAAATCGTGGTGAAAGGGATTGCCAATTTTTAATCTTATTTATGCTACAATTGGATCAACACTGAGTTCATCCACACTAACTTTGCCCTTTAGGCTCTTAAGCAAGTAGGTTGACTGAGTTATTTAAAGGATTAAGAAAGAAAAGGTGTTTGTAATGTTTTGCTCTATGCTGGTAATGATCATTTTCTTGGGCACAAAACCAAAGAATAAGTTTTTTTTAAAACATCCTTATACTTTATCACCAACTTGCACCAAGGAATCTTGAATAAAACAGAGTCAACGTATTGTTTTTAATTTGTACTTCATTATTTATTAATTACCTGCATTACATTGTTTTCAATGTGGTTAATTTTTCATACAATCAATGTATCTACTCACTTAACGCTATGACGTTCCTTCAGAAAAATTCGTATTTCAAAGTGAAGTTTTTGATGTCAACATCGTATCACCTTTCATAATATTTAGAGTTAGCTGTCATTTTACTGGGATACTCTTCCAATTGTCATGAAGATTGTGTTTTTTTTATATCCACCTATCTTTCTCCCATACCATCACACATTTATTTCTGTTCAAATAAGCATCCGATGCCTGCTTGGTGAGCTCCACTATAAACATTCCCCCAGCATGAAAAATATTCATTGACCACTACTCTCTGTTTCATCATACTCAGCCAATTTTATATCCATGTGACTTCCGACCCTTATAATCCATGAGCTATGCATTTTCATAAAGTCTATTAAACATTGTATCAAATGTCGTTTGAAAGCCCACATATACCACATCAACAGAATTACCCTTTTCAACCCTTTCTTTTGTCTCTTCAAAAAACTCCAGCAATTTAGTCAAACATGATTTCCCTTTTAGAAATCTACATCGCCTCTTTCTAAACAATCCACCATTTTCTAGGTGACTACCAATACTATCTGGACCAATTGTTCCGATAATCTTCTCCACCACTGAGGTTAAACTGACTTGTCTGCAATTGTTAAACTTTTCATGGCAACATTTTCTGAATAAGGGTGGATAATGTTTGCATTTTATTATCCAACATGGCCCTCCGCTTCTTCCTGTCCCACAGGCCCGACCAGTCCCCCTCCACTGAGACCCTCATCCGCTTAGCCGAACTCGTCCTCACACTCAACAACTTCTCTTTCAATTCCTCCCACTTCCTACAGACAAAGGGGGTAGCCATGGGTACCCGCATGGGCCCAAGCTACACCTGCCTCTTTGTAGGTTACATGGAACAATCCCTCTTCCGTACCTACACCGGCCCTAAACCCCACCTCTTCCTCCGTTACATTGATGACTGTATCGGCGCCGCCTCGTGCTCCCACGAGGAGCTCGAACAGTTCATACACTTCACTAACACCTTCCACCCCAACCTTAAGTTTACCTGGACCATCTCTAACACCTCTCTCCCCTTCCTGGACCTCTCTGTCTCCATATCGGGCAACCACCTAGAAACCGATATTCATTTCAAGCCCACCGACTCCCACAGCTACCTAGAATACTCCTCCTCCCACCCACCTTCCTGCAAAAATGCTATCCCCTATTCCCAATTCCTTCGCCTCCGCCGCATCTGCTCCCAGGATGAGGCATTCCACTCCCGTACATCTCAGTTGTCCTCGTTTTTCAAGGACCGTAACTTCCCCTCCTCGGTGGTCGAGAACGCCCTCAACCGTGTCTCCCACATCTCCCGCACCTCATCCCTCACACCCCGTCCACGCAATAAGAACCAAAAAAGAATCCCCCTCGTCCTCACGTACCACCCCACCAACCTCCGGATCCAACGCATCATCCTCCGACACTTCCGCCATCTGCAATCCGACCCCACCACCAAAGACATCTTTCCCTCCCCACCCTTATCTGCTTTCCGGAGGGACAACTCTCTCCGTGACTCCCTTGTCCGCTCCACACTCCCCTCCAGCTCCACCACACCCGGCACTTTTCCCTGCAACCGCAGGAAGTGCTACACCTGCCCCCATACCTCCTCCCTCACCCCCATCCCAGGCCCCAAGAAGACTTTCCACATCAAGCAGATGTTCACCTGCACATCTGCCAATGTGGTATACTGCATCCGCTGTACCCGGTGTGGCT